ATTTGCGGGTAGGCTCTAATTTGATTGTTTAGAACTTAGGCTCTATACAAACCGCACCCTTTAAATAAACCACTGTTCAATGTACCAAATGAGAGCCACTAGTACCACCCGATTCATTCATGAGAGAAGAAGTTTGAGAGAGAGGGAGAGGGATGTATTGAAGAGAGAGCAGTGTTCACAAAGACGGTTGGTTAGATCGCTACTAGTGGGGTGGCGATTCCGATAAGGGCCGGTTTTGCGGTATACATGGTAAGACGAAACTCTCCAAAAAAAAATCGAGACCAAAACCGGCCGGTTCAATGTCGAAACGACGGTTTTTCTTCAAAACCGGTCGGTTTTCCTAACCGGTCTGGTTTACTGTTGTTTTCGTGTGTTATAATGCATCAAATAGTGGTTGTTATTTGACACAGGCTCGTTATTTTCATAGATCAAGATTTTGCAGCTTTTTTTTCTTCCATTTTGTATTTTTTTTTGTTTTTTCAATCAAATATTGATGTTATATTATGTAAAGTTTCTATAAATTATCTATTATTGAATCAAAAGTCAAAAAACAAAGAGTTCTTGGCGGATTGAAATGAGGATTTTTGAAAATTAGAAATTTCTGCCCTTTTGAAGCAGTACTTAACACCTTGACCCACACCCTGCATTTGATAACCAAGTTACTAAGTAAATGAGGTGCTCTCTTTTACTACCTTGACTCACAGCCCTTCGAAAAGCTGAGAACATTGTGCTACAAAAAAAATACGCTCTCAAATCCAATTTTAAACCGTATTAAAGGGCTTTTTCAACATTAAAACAACATTTTTCAACATCAACATTAAAACAATATAGAAGCATATATTGTTGCATCATCCATTATTAGTTGGACTTTGTAACTTCACCCATTGAATTTATGTGAAATTATAAATAGTTTTGCATATTTTCATGATATTCAAATATTAAATTATATAAAAACTTGTATCAAATTTTTTTATAAAATAAATACATGTAATACGATGGTGTATACTTAATCTAAGTTTTTCTATTTGTTTTTAAGATTTTTTTTGCGATTTTGATTTATTTTTTTTAAAAAAATCTACTTGATCAATTAGTCTAGTTAACCGTTCTTGTTGGTCCGGTTCTGGTTCGAACAGCTCCTAACTTCATGACCGGTTAACCGTTCCAATTTTGGAAACATAGAGAGAGAGAGTATGAGAGAGATAGAAAGAGGTATGCATAGAGAAGAGAGAGAGAGAAAGAGACCCGAGAAAATTGAAGTAGATGTCCTGAGGTGAGGTTGAGCAGGGCCAAACCCATAGACTTGGAGTTTGAAAATGGTTAAATGGTTACATACATGAACCGCCGTACCCCTTTCAACATTTGAATAATTTCAAGTGGGCTTCTTTATTTTTTAGAGAGAGAAAGTGAGCTGCTTGCCTTCCAAGTGGGTACCTAAAATATTTCAAGTGGCCCTCCTCCTCCTCGATAAGAGAGAGACACTTTCCCGCCACGCGGATGCATGCATGTTGCTCTCTCTCTCTATTCACAATACTCTCTCTTCTCTCTCTATCAATTTTCTCTCACTATAATATGGTCAATCTCTCTCTCTAGACTTCTTTCTCTTTCTCCCTCTAAGACCCTTTTTCAAATCGAACCTATTTTTGTGGGGCCCACGCGTAAGCCGCAATTTCTCTCTCTCTTTTTACCCTTTCTCTCTCTAAAATTCTCGCTCGCCCTCTTCGTAAAAAAATACTTTTTATGGGACCCGCGTGTAACCTGTAATTTCTAAGCATAAGCAAAGGGGGGGACCCACTCCTTGCTGGCTAACCCCATATCTGTTGCTTAATGTAATGGAAGATTTTATTGTAATTAAAAATGAATGAAGTTTTTATAAGGCCTAGGCGTTGTAAATACAAAATAAAGCATCACCTTGGATCCTTCTTCACAAAGCATCTTTGGCATCAGAAATCCCCATGATGCTTTAAAATCAATTTTCATTACTGAAAAAAAAATTTGAAACTCAAAATAACATGGATCTTGTAAATTTGTAAATACTTAAATTTAGGCAAAGTGGATGGTCTGGATAATTTTTTACAATATACACTATTTTTGTACCGTGAAATCCTAATTTTTTTTCACAACCATAATGTTGAAGCTGAGATTGATCGATTCGAAGGTTTTCCAACGCTTGAATTGCAACTTATAGTGACTAATGAGCTATTAAACCATTTTCCATTAAATATAACGTGGTTAAGTGGTAATGTATATACTGTATTACATTCAATTTCACCGAGATAAGATAATCTTTTCTCTCCAGTTGCTAAGAAATCAATATTTTTTCCTTTTTCAATCACTCCAAATAGAATACAATTAAAATGTAAATCTCTACTTCAAAATTTTATTAGAAAATGATAGAGATCTTTTATCAAATTAGAGCCTACCTCAAGACAGAAATCTAATTTTATTAGAAAATGATAGAAATCAATATCATTTTCTTGGATTGTGAAATATAAAGCTCTAAAAATGATAGAGATCTTGATGTTCGCTTACACTATTCGAGATGGGGGATGAATTTTAAATTATGAAAAAATTGTGAGATATATTGGGAAAACTGTGAGATATCTCAGTAGACTTTTATCTCACTCCTAGAACTATCGGGTTTTTACAAGGTATGAGGGATGGATTTTTTATTCTAAAAATTTAGGGGATATTAGTATTATTTTTTTTAGAAAAGTATACAAAGAGATCATTTATTTTTAGTATTTAAATTCAATTGTTATAAATGTGTCATTGACTAGACTCAATATTTCAAAAAAAACTTTCTTGAACTTTGCAACACACCTAAGCCATTAAATTTAACAACTAAGGGCTAGGTGTGATGGTGGACTCCTTGTAGAAATGATAAATAGTCTCATAGTACGCAATCTATTTTTTTGGGGAGGAGTATGATGTAGACGATCAATTTTAAAAAAAAATTTAAAAAATGAGCCAAAATTTACTCCCTCGAGTAAAACCTAAACTAGGATTAATTTGACAACCCCAAATTTTGAGGATGTAACCTCTTCAACCTATATAGTAAACTTAATAAAAAAAAAAATCCTAATTGGACTCTTTATGCATATGAAAACGATAAAGATTGAACAGAGATCGTCCAATTTTTTGAAGGTGAGAACTAACAGCTAGAAAGCTTAAAATTCAAATTGTTTTTCCTTTTGGAAACGATGATTTAGTTTTATTCTTAACTGGTCCTTGAAATTTTACAACGGTCCCCTGATCGAGAGGATAGATGTACAATGTGCTCCACTAGGAGCATAGCATACAAGCCCTATAATTACTGCCCTTATTTAAGTTCTCCAAATGAAAATATAAAAAATAGATAGGGTAGTTTGTATAGAGCGTAGGCTCTAAACAATCGAATTAAAGCTTACCTTCAAATGGTGTCAAAAATGCCTTCAACACTGGAATTGAAAAGTTTATATAGAGCCTGGGCTCTAAACCATCAAATTAGAGCCTACCTCAAAAATTTCATTAAAAGAGGTTGTTTTGATGCCTCAATATCTTCAAATTGATCATCTCGACCTCAAGATGACATGAGAAAAAAAAGATTTCAAGTTTTGAAAGTAGTGTATTTTATAACACATGTTTGGACTGTTAGTTTTCGATTTTTTGTAGATCTATCGATCTGCACTATTTTTTAATCTTTAAACTTTATAAATAAAGATAAAAATATATTTTAAGGTTATCACAAAGATTTCCAATAGTGAAACCATATTTCTCAATATTATTTGAAGATAGGCTCTAATTTGATTATTTAGAGCCTGGGCTCTATACAAATTGCACCTTGATAGGAAAAAGTAAGCTTTAAAATATATTTTCATCTTTAATCATAAATTTTCAAGCTTAAAAAATAGTATAGAACCAATACATCTATGAAAACTGGAAAATCTTGAAAATTGAGAGTAAAAAAATGCATTACAAGATGCACTATTTACAAAATTTGAAATCTATTTTTTTCTTATACCCATGCATATTGAAGTGGAGATGATCCATTTGAAGATATTTTAGCATCAAAACAACCTCTTCTATTGAAACTTTTGAGGTCCATTTTAATTTGATTGTTGATAGCCTTCAGCTCTATATAAACATTTTCCAAATAGATATGCACAAAAGAAGTTAGAAAAATATATATCGTGACATTTTAAGCTGTCTAGAGCACCCTCTCTTTTGATCTGGATCCCAGGCTTATTTTTTAACAGTGTTATTGTGATTGAACAGGCCATCGAAGCAGTGAAGAGTTTGGTCTAATCAAAACCGATTCACCGTTGGTAGAATCGATTGAATCATATTTAAAAAAAAAAAAGTTTGATATAATAGTTAAAATATAACATATATAAAAATTGAAATTGAAATTGATTAGTCTAACCAACCAAATATTAATTTTGACTGATTTATAACTAAATCTATTTTTTTACCTAATCATACTGATTAAGGTACCGATCGATGGTCCGATTGGTCAGAGTACTACTTCCGTCCTATCTTGGTAACTATCCTCCACAGTATAAGCTCGTCGGCTCTCATAATCTTATTTCTAACTAAGATAGCATTTGTTGAAGCTTTTATTGGCATGTAATAAGATTTTAAGAGAAATTAATAACATCTTCAAATCTTCCCCTCCCGCGTTAGGACAGAGGTAGAGATAGAAAGAGGAGAGAGAAAGAGGGAGGGATAAAGAGTGTTTAGAGAGAGAGAGAGGAAAACACCTTTGATTAACTTTGATTATGTGGTAATAAAAGTGATGTTAATAATCTAAGTTTTCCCCCTTCCAAGAGGCATATGTAGTAATAGAGTCTAGAGAGAGAGAGAGGAGAGATGTAGAGAGAGAGAGCCTTTAACAAAGGCTACTTGCTTCTACAAAAGAGAATTAATAGCAAGTAGTGCGAGCTAGAGAGAGAAAAAAGCCGTTTCCGGTTTCCGGTATTGGGAGAGGTTTGGTGGGTTTAAACTTTAAAGGCGGTATTCATTGCATGCGGAAGATTACAATGAATGGGGTCGGCGTTTTTGGGAGAGATGAATGTATCTTCCCGTTTCATAAAGTAAAGGCTCTCTCAGCCTTTCATTCCCATTTCCAAATCTCTCCTCTCTTTCTCTTTCTCTCTCTCTTCCTCTCTTACAAACCCCTTTCTCTCTCTAGAACTTCATATTCTTCGTATGATGATTACTCGCTCCTGTTGATCTCTGTGATGCATTCAGTTGCCACCTCGAATCTGGTCTTTGCTCTGGTTTTTTTGGCCCTGGTTCTTGAGGTTTCTGTTTCTCCCGGCTCCCTGAGGTTACTTGGACCCCATCCATGTCTACTCTTGTCAAGTACAGTGGTAAGTCTCGGTTCTTGATGGTTTTCATGGGTGTTTTGATCACTTGCTGGTCTCTTTCTCTGTTTAGGGTTTTATTTTTGGGGATCTGGTTTGATTCATGGGTTAAGGTGTAGTTTTGGTTTTCTGGTTGGGCTAGGATGCGATGTTTGTGGGGTATTAGCGTTTGGATGAACTATCTGGATGAAATAGATGGTTATTTGTGGTGAATTAGAGCTGATTTTTTGTTGTTTGGTGATCTTTCTATGATGAATTAGGTTTCTATCTCTTTATCTGCTGGTTTTTTAGGGAATTGTTGTTTTTCACCTTAGTCTTTCTGCAAAGTGGTGTTTTCTTTGGCTTCTGGTTTTTCTTGGAAATTAGCGTTTGGATTTAATGATATTTATCAAGAAATAGCAATTGTTTGTTTTATATTGTTATGGTGGATTAGAGCTTGGACATGTTTTTTGTTTGTTTGCTTTGGTGAATTAGGGTTTTAATTCAAGTAGATGGATATCCCTCTTTTTCTTAAGGATTTCTAGATGAAATTGGAATTTTCCCTTGTATATTTCTTTCTTTCTCTGATGGATTCTCATGAAAGCTCCTTCAATTGCTGAAAACCTCAGAAACGGCTGTTATTTCTGTGTGATTTCTCGAGAAAGCCTCACTTTAGTTGCCCTAATTAATGAAAAGCCTCTTTTACATGTGATCTCTCCTGAAAAATAGAAAGGGTGGATCTTGTTTTTTGGGGCGGCTGCTTGTTTTCATTTTTGGCATAATCTAACTTGTCATCTTATTTGATACTGAATACCAGGGATAGTTTTTTATGATGTAAAATGGGGAAGAATGTGAAAACTAATAAAAATCTCTGGTTTCCGTGGCTTCTGTTTTGTGGTTTATGATCCGAAATATTTACTGATGGTTTTCTCTTCCTGTTTGCTCTGTGAGCTTATTTCCTTCAGTTTCTTTGTGGATCCAGTTGTTTGATACGTTCTCATATGATTTCAGATATTTATGTGATGATTTGGGATTTTTGACTTGAGACTCTGTAAATGTATATGATAATATGATAATATTTCTCTCGATCTTGAAATGAAGAATCTAGCCATAGAGGAATTGAATCAATAATTCATCACGTGCAGTTTGCACATGATTTTTTTGGTTAGCTATTGCTTTGAAAATTTTTCTCTCTTTCCAGAATGGTCTTTTGTGTTTAAGCTTCAAATGTTTCATTTGGGCGTAAATGATTTGAAATGTATATGGTTCAATCGGTGGGGATAAGCATTTAATTAAAAATGCGCATGTTACAATTGGTGGGCTAATCATATACTGTTCTGAAATTTCAGGGGATGACCGCCATGGAGGGCCTCTATACTCTTCGGGCCTCATGGATTCGAGCCTCTTTCTCTCTCTTGCTCCTAACTTGGATGTCTATTGCCCTCCACGAAAGAGATCTCGTGTCACGGCTCCCTTTGTTTTATGGGAAAACAATACCAACTTTCAAAGGAAACCTTCTCTCGACAATCTTCCCGATGAGTGCCTCTTTGAGATACTCAGAAGGGTTAATACCAGTCGTGATAGGAGTGCATGCGCCTGTGTTTCCAAGCACTGGCTCATGCTTCAGAGCACCATCAAGAGGGTGGAAGTAGTTGCTGATTCTAAGCTTACATGCTCTGATGCTTTGGCTAACCAAGAGGATGTTGCCTCTTTTGAAATTGAAGAGAATGGTGATTCCAATGGTTATCTTTCGAGGAGCTTGAGGGGAAATAAGGCCACTGATGTTAGGCTTGCAGCCATTGCAGTGGGAACAGGTGGCCGTGGAGGTCTGGGAAAGCTTTTGGTAGGAGGAAGCAACCCCACTCGTGGGGTCACCGATCTTGGCCTATCGGCCATTGCTCATGGGTGCCCTGCTCTCAAAGCTCTCTCGTTGTGGAACACACCCTTTGTCAGTGATGAAGGGCTCTCTGAGATCGCTGATGGCTGCCCCCAATTGGAGAAGCTTGACCTTTGCCAGTGCCCAAGGATCACTGACAAGGGTTTGATCGCTGTCGCAAAGAAGTGCCCGAGCTTGACAACCATGAATCTAGAATCATGTGAGAAAATTGGGAATGGGGCTTTGAAGGCCATAGCTCAGAGCTGCCCAAACTTGAGGTCGGTGTCTATTCATGGTTGTCCTCTAATTGGAGATCAAGGAGTGGCTTCTCTCGTGTCATTGGCCACTCATGTCTCAAAGATCAAGCTTCAGTCTTTGAATATCACTGATGTTTCTCTTGCATTGATTGGACACTATGGAAAGGAAATCGAGGATTTGGGCCTTGTGGGCCTTCATAACGTAAGCGAGAGGGGTTTCTGGGCTCTTGGAAATGCTCTTGGATTGCAGAAGCTGAAGCTTTGCTCCATTGCCTTGTGCATGGGGATCACAGACTTGGGTCTCGAAGCCATAGGCCGTGGCTGCCCAAACCTGAAGCAGTTGTGCCTTCGAAGGTGTTCCTCCCTCTCTGACAAAGGGCTTGAAGCCTTCACCCAATCTGCTGTTTTGCTCAAGAGCCTTCAGTTGGAGGAATGCAATAAGATCACACAGATGGGGCTCTTGGCTTCTCTTTTTAACTGTAGGGGGAATCTCAATTCTCTCTCTCTGGTGAAATGCATGGGTATCCGTGACTCTCTTGTGGGTTTGGCCCCATTGTCCACATGCAACTCTCTGAAGTCCCTTAGTGTTCGACATTGCTCAGGTTTTGGCAATGGTTGCTTGGACATCCTTGGAAAAGCTTGTCCTCAATTGCAAAACTTAGACCTGAGTGGCCTTTGTGGTGTGACGGATGATGGGTTTGTAGCTTTGCTTGAGAGTCGTGAGGCCTTGCTGTTGAAGGCCAATCTTAGTGGCTGCATCAACCTGACCGACCGCTCAGTTATGGCCTTGGCCAAGCTCCATGGCGAGAGCCTTGAGCTTCTTAGTTTCGAAGGTTGCGGAAAGGTAACAGACAGTGGCTTGATGGCTGTCTCTTCCTTCTGTGTTTGTCTCAAGGATTTGGACATTTCAAGGTGCACGATCACCGACAATGGATTGGCTTATCTCTCTCGAGCAAAGGGGCTCAGGCTGCAAATACTTTCACTCTCTGCCTGCTTGGGCATTACGGATAAGAGCCTCCCCCTTCTTGGCAACTTTGCTGGCTCACTTGTGGGCCTGAACCTTCAAAACTGCAAAATGGTGAGCAATGGAGCTGTGGAGCTCCTTGGCGAGCAGCTTTGGAGGTGTGATATCCTCTTCTGATCCACCACTCTTAAGCAATCGAGTCGAACCGGTATTGGGTTCAGCCCTAAGTGGATTTCGACGGAATACAGTTTGAATCTGGATATGATTCTAGGGTTTAGGATTTAAGGTTTCTGTTTGTTTTTGGGCCCATTTGTTTCTGTCCTTTGCAATGGGCTTTCTCTATGTAGAAAACCAGGAGGGGTTGTTTTCCAAGGTCTCTTGTATTCAGCCTTTTTTGCAGGTCTCCATTCTTTTCTAGAGGGAGAAACCTGTTTCCACAGTTGTGGTTTTCACCACTTTTGGCTGGTCCGAGTCCCTTGAGAACGGTTTGTTACTCTCTCTCTCCTCCTGGTTCCGGGGTTCTCTCTCTTTGGTTTTGGTGTCGTCTTTTCGGGTCACTGGTAGTGGTTTTTTTATAGGGTCCTGGTTCTCATCACCTTCACTTGTTTGGTGGGTGTTTTAGCCAAGCCTCATATTTGGCCATGTTGGTGTGGCTGTAGCTTTGTAGGTGTTTCTCACTCTACTCTTCTCTCTCTCTTTATCTGAGGAAAGGAGGGAAGTGGGGTTTGTGTGTCCTGTGTTTTGGGGGCAGTTCATTTGGTGTCTGGTGAAATTCATGGGCCTATGGCAGCAAGTTTCTAATTGAATCTGCCATTTTTACAAAACTCCCTTTGGTTTTAGAGGGTGGCTTTGTTTTTTGCCCAAGTCCTAGTTTTTAACAGGCTGCCACTACGAGAACTGTACTCCACCACGTTATATATGAATGAAATAATAGTGAATTTCAATGGTACTTCTTCTTTGTGTTTGTTAATTGTCCCCTTGTCTTATACTTTCGCTTATTTATCGAGAGTGCAACGATCTCTCTTTCTCTGTTTTTTTTTTTTTATAGCTTTTTAAAAATTTTGCTTTTTTTTTTGGGGCCCCTAAGCATGGGACGGAGCCTTGCCAATCGTCCAGGGCTAACCAAGTAAGCCCGGGCTCTTTTCCTCTCTCTCTCTCTCTCTCTCTATCTATCATTGAGAGTGCATCGTTTTCTCCTTTGGGTTGGTGTCGACGCACGATTCTCATTCTCTCATTTTCTTCTGATCAGAGGGTGCAGCAAGCATACCGTTTCCTCTCTCTCGAAGAGTTCTAGCACATTTTTCTATTATCTATCATTATTCAAGACTTATTTTAATGGACCCGGTTTCTATGGGCCAGGCCTGCATATGTAGAGATGCGGGCTTCTTAATAAATCTGTTTTTTAAATGAATTTTAATACTTAATTTTTAAAGACGTGATATGGAGTTCATGAAAAAATAAATAAAATTTTAAAAATTAAAAATAATATTTCTATTAAGGAAATATTTGGACATTTAGTTTTTATTATTTTTAGATGGAACATTTATTTGTATTTATCTTTAAGATGGATGTTTTATACTTTCAAAGTCAGATATGTATAAATGCGGTTCAGTCAGCATAAAATAAATTTTTTATTTTAATTATTTGGGGTTTGGCACATTAATATTATTTTCTCTTTTGCTCATTTTCATTCATGATCTATGAAAAATATGACTAAGTTTTATGCTATCTGTCAGCCTAATACAATCATCTTGCTTTATCCATATGATTGGAACCGGGCCACGGCAGAGTTTTTTTTATCTCTTTATATTCTTAATTCTAAAATCCGCTTTCTAGACGCATGCATGCGCACATACATACGCATAGGCCACTTGTTGGTGTTAAGGACTACCCTTTTTGGTTTTTAACAAATGTAAAGACATCATCTGCAACCACAAGGGAAGGTAGAGAAGCGCCGTCCTCAGCCAAAGAATCAGCCAAACTATTAGGCTCTTTATAAATCCAAAGGAAAAAAACTGACAATGGCTCCGCTAAAGCATAAAGATTTGAGTTCCTATGACACTCTTTGTTCTTTCCTACACCATCTTATAATATTCAAAGAATCTCTTTCAATCTCACAGTAATTTTCCAAATTTCTGCTAATAAAGATCTTCAAACCATTAAAAAGATCAAATAATTCCACATGATTAAAATTCCCATCAAAATTTAGTTTGAACCTACACATATCAAGCAAAACCCAAACAGATCTAGGCCGACTCCTGATGAATTGCATTCTATAAAGATTTTCTAAGTAGAACCCAAGCAGATCTAGGTCGACTCTTGATGAATTGCATTCTATAAAGATTTCTTAGATTAAGAGAAATATCTAACTCAAACACACCCCACGCTTTTTTCGTTACTGCCAATCAACATCAAAACGAATGCTTGATATTGTTAAGAACCCTCTATGACAAACACACCCCTCAAAGATTATCGTGTTTCTTTATTTCCATGCTTTCTGCACAATCACACCTCTAATAATTTTCCAAATTGCGTTACCTACCTTAAGAAGATGCGGCAAAGCCAAGTGGATGGCAATACCGGGCATGATCATGGAGACACCAAGTTGAGTGAAAAAACCAAGACAAAATTATTGAATGAAACAAAACCTACAACCATTTCTACTTTGTACTTTTTAGACACTTTTAAGCAAATTATAATCGGAGAGTTAGCAAAAATAAAGTCAATTTCTAATTGAGTGAGATTTACTCCCTCTCAAGGGTCCCAATTCTAAATTAGCAGTTGAGAGGGAGAGAGTGAGACAAAGAGGGTGTGTCCTGATTCATATTAGAGAGTAATAAGAATGATGACAATGATTTAGAGAATGGTAATGATCTAGAAAGATAAGATCATGATCATGATTAACATGATAAGATAAATATGATATATTTATGGATACCATGAAAATATTAAAACAACAATATTTGTGTAAAATTCTCCACACTCATAGAGAGGGATGTGGGTTTTATTTATAATATTTATATACCCCTTTTTGATTGACTCAATGAAAAATGTGATTACAACAAATATGTATAGATATGAAAGAGAATCATACAAAGAGATTATAATATATCATGAATACATCATATTTATTATTATCATGTTAATCCTGATCGTAATCATATCTTTCTAGATCATTATTATCATTCTTATTAGAGATAGAGGTCTTTATGATTTCAAGGATTGTGGATTGAGAAACCATTATCCATTTTTGGTAACTTTCTAATGGAATAAGAGAGATAGAGCATATGTCCCAATTTTATATTTGGATTTAAGATAGAGGGAGAGGGTCTTTATGTTTTCGAAGATTGTAGGGCACAGTGGTTTAAAACCTTACGGTTTTTTATCCAATTTGTGGATTTAGATATGGAATCAATTAGAGCCGGTTTTATAATGGTATGGGTCCCGTTTCCCACATAAAATCCTCATCCCAATTGGTTTTCTTTTCTTTAAGCTTATTTAGTATTTTATGTGGTCTACATCCACGTCATGTAAACCTTTATTTTAATTTTTATTTATTTTTAAATTTTGGATTACCAATCAAGATGATTAGAGAACAATCCGGATCTCCAAACCTAACCGATCCGAATTGGGATTGAGGGTGGACGATCCACTCCCTCCGATATGTTTTTCTTAAAACATTAACAGGGCGTAAAACAACATTCTATTTAAGAGAGAGAGTCTTTATGATAAAGAGAGTGAAACGGTATCTATTTTCGTATGGCTAGTATATAGAGAGAGAGGGGCTTCGGAGAACATGTCCAAAATCGAAATTTTTTATGCCCAGGATATATATATATAGGTTTTGAAAAATGAGTAATGATGCTATAAGACTTCCTTTCAATTATGTGTTTAGGATTTTAAAGGGTTATCATTAAAGTAGATAAATATCTTTAAAAAAAGTTATTGCAAAATTGTGAAATTTGATTTTTTTAGAGATCCATATCAATTTTAATGATGAATATTTTTTTATTTTATTTTATTTTTAAAGACATAAAGGTGGGTGGGAGAGGGTCCCATTTTATAGAAAACATATGGGTGGGAGAGGGTCCCATAGGATCATTTCTCTGTGAAGAATATATCCCAAATTGAAATTTGCACTGTTTTTCGTTCATGCGAAAATTTGCGTTGTTTTGGTTCAAGCGCAAAGCCCTCTCTTTTTCAGTTCAAACGAAAACCCCTCTCCCTCTTTCTCGCACCCATCGGACAATTTAGCTTCGGGTTGGATTAAGCCCCAACCTCAATGACGTTCAAAGCTCTCCTCTTCAAGATCCAAAACCCTAGTTTACATGCCATGGCCGTGCTTGTTCACAAGGTACGCAATCGCCATTCTTTCTCAGATTATTCTCATATTCATGTCGTCAGAATTATGGATAGACGAATCGATTATAATTCAGGGCTATTCAGAATTATGGATACACGAATCGATTATAATTCAGGGCTATTCTGCCATTTTTATAACTTTCATTCCTCCAATTCTAGGCCATTTTCTTCCCTCTCGGATTCAGAATTTAGCGTTAGTTCGTCTCAGTTAAGTGATAATGTGAATGAGATCTGTCGGATATTAAGCGATTATCGAAGCCCTAATCATGATATGGAACCTTCACTCGAGCGGTTTAATGGAGAATTAACAACTGATTTAGTGGAGCAAGTACTGAAAAGGTGTAAAGATCTTGGAAATTCTTCTCATAGGTTCTTTATATGGGCCTATAAACGCCCTGACTTTAAACACAGTGAGCAGAGTTATCGAATTTTGGTGGACATTTTAGGTAGCAATCGACACTTTCCTATGATTTGGGACCTGGTTTTCGGTATGAAAAATGATGGTTTTGAGATCAAAAGAGAGCTTTTCTGGGTTATGTTCAGGAGTTACGCTAGGGCTAACTTACCAACTGATGCTATTCGAGCATTTCGTAGAATGGAAGAATTTGGGATCAAACCATCTATTGATGATCTTGATCAGTTAATTTACACTCTTTGTAAACACCGCCTTGTGGATTATGCTCATAAATTCTTTGAAAAAGCAAAGTTCGAGTTTGCAGTGAGCTCAAAATCTTACAGTATTCTTATAAATGGGTGGGGTGAAATTGGCAATTGGGTTGAAGCTGAGAGTCTTTTTCATGAAATGGTCAAAGAAAAAGTCCCTTTAGATATTGTAGCCTACAATACTTTACTTGGGTCTCTGTGTAAATCTGGAAAGGTTGATTACGCACACAAGCTATTTCGTGAAATGGGTTCTTATGGCCTTGTGCCTGATGCTTTTAGTTACAGTACATTTGTTAATGCTTACAGTGAGGCAGATGATGTTAATTCAGCCATTCGAGTATTTGATAGTATGAGGAGGCATAACTTAGTGCCGAATGTGTACACATACAATTCACTGATCAAAGTTTTGTGTAAGAATGAGAGGGTTGATGATGCGTATGGGCTTTTGGATGAAATGATTGAGAAGGGTTTAAGTCCTGATTTGTGGAGCTATAACACCATTCTAGCTATACACTGCAATGTTCGGGAAGTCAATAAGGCTCTTAGACTTCTCAATAGGATGGATAGAGACTTGTGCAAGCCAGACAAACATACTTATAATATGCTTCTCAAAATGTTGATATTGGTGGGAAGGTTCGATAGAGCTGTAAAAGTTTGGAATGGTATGGAAGAGAGAGGGTTTTATCCTGCGGTGACTACTTATGCAGTCATGATACATGGGTTGTGCAAGAGAGGGAGAATCGAAGATGCGTGTTCACACTTTGAGACAATGATAGATGAAGGAGTGCCTCCTTATACTTCTACATGTGAGTTAATAAGGAATCATCTTGTACACTTAGGGATGCAGGATAAGGCTCGTGTAATTGCAAATAAAATGCAGAGAGCTAGCTCTTGCTCGATTCAAGAGCTCTCAATTATGTTTGATTTGCCATTGCCCGTGAAGGCCATTGAAACCCGGTCTAAGAAAGGGGTCAAGGTTCGCTTAGGGTCCAAGAGAAAACGAGAAACGTTAATAAAAAAAGCGGGAGTTGGAGAGGGCAACTGAGTAATGAAAATTGCCTTGCTATTATAATATTTTTGTTGGTTCCTATTGCGACATTGTCTATCACTAAAAGCCGAGGTCTCAATTTGTTTACTTACCTTAGAATTTAGCTTCTATGATGAAAACAAATCGCGATCATGACAAGAAGGTTGTCGTAGGAAACAATCGTTTCGTGGAGAAAGCCAATGTGAGAAGCACTTGATTTCAATATATCAGAAGACTTGGGAGGAGGATAAATGGGTAACTTTAGCATAGATTTTTTTTTGAGAAAGGTTAACATTGGGTAACTTAGCATGGATTGATGCAACAACATCACCACCGAACCATTAAATTTGAGATAAATGGCAGAAAGTTCTCATAAGTTACCATAAAGATAGGTCAACAAGATTTCTCCAGGAAACAGAAACAAGGGCATCTCCACTTCTAAAAGTGGTTGCTTAGCATTCAAGAAAGAAAGGGACAACCTTCTTCTATCCCTTTTGGAAATTCTTTTTAACCATTTGCTATTCTACATAGGAATGGCTAATTTTGAAAATTTAAGAATGTGCGGTTTTTGTTAGCCATTTGTTGGTGGATTTCCTATGCTTCATCTGATGATGATATGAATGCAACAACAGCATACAGGTAACCAACTTCAAATATGAGTAACCGTTGTTACATATATATCCATAGAATAAAGTCTTCATATGAAGGTTTTCGTGTTTATATCAACAAGGCGCATTCTTGTTTTGCTAGAGATAAATTTCCAGTGTGAAAAGGGTATTCCATTTCATTTTTTGCATATTTACCTGTGACTAAGTGTTTTTTTATGTGATGTGCATACTTGAACGTGACCCACCAAAGTAGAATAACATATGATATTTAGGGTTGAATAGCTAATTGATACCTTTTTTGTAGTTTTAAGGCTGCATGCATATGGGCGGACATCGTTTTGTAATTTTCGTTTGCTCAGGAATTGCGAGATACCAATATGCTCACACATGAGTAGATTAATAACATGAAATTAAGGACCTAAACTATCCTGTCATTTAAGAGCCTTGAACCCAAGAGTGAACCCCATTGCCTTTTCAAATAACATCCATTGGATCTTTTCTATTTCATAGTTAACATATTCCAAAGCACAACTCTAGTGTTCTATACAATATTGTGGCATTTTGGTTAGTTTTGGGCCTTTTGGCCTACAAATATGGACCCATCATGAACATTGTTCTGCCTAGATTTCGTTATGAGTGTGGGGGGCATTTTATTTGGTTTGGTTTATTGAGTGGTCTAGTTTATCAAATGATTCTACTTCCTCTTATCAGGCAGACCTCTATGCCTTCATACAATAAGGTTCCTAAAGGAAATGGGGGTATCGGCCTCCTCTTATCTGGACTTAATCCCGCCTAGCTTCTGTTTTGAGCAACAACAGACTTCCTTGTTTCTAAGTCTCAAGTCTTTGGTACCCGATGGGGTTTTTAGATTTTTCTTGGATCCCTCAATTTATCTTATTTGAAGATCTTCATCCATATTCAGAAATTATATGCTGATTTCTAATTGAGTTGTGGCCTTGTTCCAAGTGTAGGTGTTTGGTACTTGGTTGTTCTACTAAGTATATAGATCCCATTTTTTTTTTAATTGTGAGATATCGGTCATATTTGATTTCATTGGATCAACGATAGACTTGTGAAGTCGAAAACTTCAGCATATGAAAGTTTCTACGAACTAGTGTTTCTGAAATCTTGATCCACTATTCGCTTTTTTAAGGGTTTGGATTTAATGATATTTATCAAGAAATAGCAACAACAGTTGTTTATCTTATGTTATTATGGTAGATTAGAGCCTGTACATGTTTTTTGTATCTTTGCTTTGGTGAATTAGGGTTTCAATTCAAGTAGATGGATATCCCTCTTTTTCTTAATGATTTTTAGGTGAAATTGGATTTCCTTGTATATTTCTTTCTTTCTCTGATGGATTCTCATGAAAGTTCCTTCAATTGCTGAAAACCTCAGAAAGGGCTGCTCCTTCTTTGTGATTCTCGAGAAAGCCTCAACTTATTTGCACTAATTAATGATAAACCTATTCTATATATGATCTCTCCTGAAAAATAGAAAGGGTGGATTTTTTTTTCTGGACTAGCTGCTTGTTTTCATTTTTGGCATGATCTAACTTGTCATCCTATTTGATACTAAATGCGAGGGATAGATTTTTATGATGTAAAATGGGGAGAGTGTAGTTTATGATCCAATATATTTACCGATGGTTTTCTCGTCCTGTTTGCTCGGTGAGCTTATTTCCTTCAGCTTCTTTGTGGATCCAGTTGTTTGATGCGTTCTCATATGATTTCAGGTATTGATGTGATGATTTGGGAATTTTGACTTCAGACTCTGTAAATGTATATGATAATATTTCTCTTCAATAACTTAAGCAAGATCTTGAAATGAAGAATCTAGCCATAGAGGAATTGAATCAACACATTCATCTTGTGCTGTTCACACCTGATTTTTTTGATTAGCTATTGCCTTGAAAATTTCTCTGTTTTCGGAATGGTCTTTTCTCTTTAAGGGGATGACCGCCATGGAGGGCCTCTATACTCTTCGGGCCTCATGGACTCGAGCCTGTTTCTCTCTCTTGCTCCCAACTTGGATGTCTATTGCCCTCCACGAAAGAGATCTCGTGTCACGAATCCCTTTGTTTTATGGGAAGACGAGGCCAACTTTCAAAGGAAACCTTCTCTCAACAACCTTCCGGATCAGTGCCTCTTCAAGATACTCAGAAGGGTGACACCAGTCGTGATAGGAGTGCATGCGCTTGTGTTTCCAAGCTCTGGCTCATGCTCCAGAGCACAATTGACAATGTGGTTGGGGGTCGTGGTGGTAGCATCATTTGTGCCCTGCTACGGTCTAAGTTTATATTTTCACCTAACGTATTTAAAAACTACTAATGATTTTAAAAAACGAGTAGGGGCTCGTCATTCCTATTTAATTACCAAAAGAAAGAAAAAAACTACAATGGTTTCTACTTTGTAGACTCTTAATAAAACTCCCATGGGGAATTCAGCTGAATTAAAGTCAATTTCCAATTGAATATGTCGATTTACTTACTTCTTGGCTATAATGGAATTCTTCTAAAACTTGGATTTTCAATCACAGCTCAAACATCATTCCATTAGAGGCCTCTCTCTCTCTCTCTCTCTCTGTCTGAACTGTAAGGGAATCATCAGCCATTTAGAGCAAATTTTGTCTGTGACGTCAGTCGCTCCATTTAAGCCCTGAATTTGATTTATAGAGATTGGTAATCGTCTCTCTCTCTCTCTAAATCTCACTAAAATGGGACGGTCTATTTTGTTTCTCATTCTGTATAGACAACTCGTATCATCCCTAGGTAAATGAGGTTTTGTTTTTTTTTGGGTGAGTCAGTGGGGAGAGGGCCACTGTCATTCGAATTGAGCTTAGGATGTAGCATTGCAAATCGTCAAGCACGAACCAATTAATTTTCTTTTCTTAAGAAAATTAGGATTCGAACCCACGATCTTTAAAATAGGGCCCTTAGCGAAGGGAATGGTTATATACGTGAAAAGAAAATATATACTGTAATCTGTATTTTAGGAAGAGTAGATACGATATATTGTATTTATGGTAAGTTTGGGTATAGTATAAGAAACTGTGATTTATTTTTATATTTTTTTATCTGTAATTGTATATAAAAGACAAGTCTGTATATTCATAAAATTAATGGACATTGAGTCTCTTCAGAGAAATTTGCGATTCTTTAGATGGTATTAGAGCGAGATTTACTTTAGCTGTGTCAATTCCTCGTCTCTGAAGCATTGTCACCAATTTTTAAGACAAGTTAGTTGCTCACCCAGTTGGTACAACTTCTGTTGAGTTGTGTTTTGACTCTCTGTCGAGTCGTGTTTTGATTCTCAAATCTGTCTCTTTGTCGAGTCGCTTTCAACTCTTTGATATGTTTTCTCTTGGGAAAGTTTTGTATGTTCCTTTTACAACCATCCTCCCCTTTATCCAACTGTCTATTTTTTAATGGAGGTTTAAAATTGTCCCAATCACAATGTCACGTCTCTACACTATTTTATTTTTAATTTTTTTTTCTATAAACTATTTTTACACCAAATTTTGGAAGTCCATTCCTATATTAAACTAGCATTAACGAAAAATATAAACAAAAATATTTTCAATAAAATAAAATAACCAAAATACCCTTGAACAATTTAAGGGGTATTTTGGTCATTATATTTTATAAAAAATTTATTATTAATATTTTTTTTATAGGTGCGCCCCAATGAGAAGATGACACGTACCAATTTTTATATTTAGAAAATTTGTATTAAAAAAACTAAAAATAAAATACTTTGAGATGTCAGATCTAAGATCAAACAGTGAGCGACTCTCTTGATAAAAAATAGACGGCTAGATAGTAGGGGGAAGATAGAACTTCTATGTTGTAGGGGGAGCATAGAAAGCTTTCCTTTCTCGTTGGCATTTTTGTCTGATTGATTGAGCTTTATTCTGATATGGCCCTCAGTTCCTGACGCCATCTGTTCTTGAGGCTTGTTGATCCACCGATGCTTTCTGTGCTTGTTGATAAAGCAATTTGAACATGGCAACCACTGCATCTACTGGTCATATTATACACCTGAAGATCCGACTGCCCGTTTCCGCAATTAATGTTTAAACTCTAGTTGCTCTCTCTCGTAACATCTTGAGTTTGAAGGGGAGTGTGAAAGGAGTTTATTTATTGTAATATGTATATATAAAAAAGGCAGATGTAACATCTTGTATTTATGGTAAGTTTGGGTATAATATAGGAAACTGTAATTTATTTTTATATTTTTTCATTTATAATTTGTCTATAAAAAACAAGCCCGTGTATTCATACAATTAATAGACACTGAATTTTTTCAGAGAAAGTTGAGACCTGTCACAACATAGGGTTATTCGAACCCTCACTGTAATGAACAATAACCATGCGCACTATCCAACACACTACTTGAGGGGTGGATGATAAGAAACACGTGAAAGGAGTGGAGATGTGGGGTAAATAAGCCGTAAGTAAATGAGTTGTGTTATGTAAACATTGAACTTAAAATTTTACCGAAATTTATTATGAATTATGAAATAGCAAATCACGATTCGTATAATCGACTCCAATTAGTTGAAAAACAAAAGTTTGATGATGATGTTTACTCTATATAGACAACTATCATCACAAGCCAAATGATAATGTTTACTCTATATAGACAACTATCATCACAAGCCAGCTAAGCTGCTGATTTATATGGCTCTTCAAAGTTTGTTACACTCGATTTTTTGAAACGGTAGTTTGGTACACTCGATTTTGGGGTTACAGATGTTGTGTTCCCATAATTTACCGATTTTCTCACATACACAAGGATGGATAGGGATTATATACATTCTAGAGAGAGAGAGAGAGAGAGAGGTCTCAAGGATCCGTTTTAGTAACACTGTGTAACCTAGCAAGCGAGAGAGAGCAATTGTCCCAATTTTAAACTTTCATTTAAGAAGGGGAGAGGGGGTCATTATGATTTCCATTATTGTAGGGTATAAAACAGCTTCCATTTTGTAGACTATCTAGTGTAGAGAGAAAGAGTATATGATAAGTATTGGAGAGCATTCAAGGAAATATTGGGCGTTTTAACCGGTAACCGCGATCAGTTAAATTGGAACCGATCTCTGGTCACTTTTGGTTTCGGTCGGTTTTAGTGATCGGTCGGGTTTTTTTTTTTTTTTAAAAAAAAAAATCAAAAAAATAAAATATATTGTTTTTAATATATTTTTTAATATTTTTCATCATTATAAAAAATATTGAAAATTGTTTTGATCATTAATACTCATTTTTATATATTTCTCTTTTTGTAAAAAAAAATTCAAAAATACCTTTGGAGCAAATCGATTCTTGTTTTTTGACAATGTTACAGGCTTTTATTGAATGAGTGCTTAAACAACATCAGATTACAAGGGAATAATTAAAGAACTAGAAGTAAGTAAAGAAGATAAAGCCACTCCATGCTTAGCCATATTGTCGGCGGCATCATTGGCTCCATGAAAGATATGAAGGAAAGAGAATCGTCGCCCCGGGGAAGCACAAAGATCATGAATTTTCAGCCAAATGTCATAAAGAGACTAGGAAGGGAGTCAACCCCAATAAGAATATCCCCTAAAGCCTCTACCATTAATAATTTCCAATCCATGCAAGAGAGACCAAAATTCAACTTAGTTAGTTGAAGTATTGGCACAGGGTCCAGCATAGGAAAAGAATACCATTCTTTCATGGTTTCGGAGCAAACTATCAAAACCTGCCAGACCCAAGTTCCTTAATGAGCTCTCATCAAAGTTCAGTTTGTGGGATCCTTCAAGGGGCAGATTCCATATCAAAAGAGGATGGCCAATATAGGAGAAGGATGAAGCAAGTGACTTTAAATTGATAAAAATATCAAGACGTGAGACATGACGACCTTAAGAGGTTGTAGAAAACAAATCCAATAAAGACTGCACAATGCGCTTCAAAATCGATTATTTAAAAATAGATTTTAAAATCTATTTTTTCATTAATTTTCAACTTAATTTGGATGTGCTTTGTTTAATAATTTTTTAAATATATTTTTTACGTTTTATTAAATTTTTTTATATTTTTTAACATTTTTTTTAACTGCCTGGGACTTACTCGGATGGAACAGTTGAACCGGCCAGTTTTGGGCCCCTGGTTAACTGTTCCTGTTCGATTTTTCCTACATTGTTGGAGAGAGTGAAAATCATATCCACTTTCGTATGCTTTGTAGTCTTGAGAGAGAGAGTGAGAGGTTTTCGAGCACGACCCAAATCGAAATCTGCATTAGTTTAGTTTTTTTTGACAAATGTTCGAAGCTTTATTCAATAACTTAAACAAAGGAATTTACATCAGAAGACACAGAAAGAGAAGGCAACGAAGCGCCTCCTTTAGCGAGGGAGTCTGCTATATCGTTGGCTTCACGATAAACATGAGTGAAGGAAACATCGAAGGGGCCAGCTAAATCCATGATTTCCAACCAAAGAGACCGAAGTAGTCATGGGATACGCGATTTCTTATTACACCAATTAATAACATTTAGGGAGTCACCTTCGCAGATACAACAATGAGCCAGATTTTTGGAGATAATGAGCTTCAAACCTTGTAGTAAAGAAGCAACCTCCCCATGATTAGCCGTAGCAACCCCAATAGGATCCGCGTAAGAAAAAATGGTCTCACCGAGCTCATTGTGTAAAACACCTCCTATGCCAGCCAAACCTGGATTATTGAGAGAGCTACCATCGAAATTTAGTTTGAAACGACCTGTCTCTGGTAGAGGCCAGAAGCAACGCGGGCGCATCTTCCTTTACCCTTGAGAAACAAATTTTACAAATTAATGAAGACGTCCGTTTTAGAAAGGCCTTCTTTTGTGACCAAATACCATTGCCAAGTGAATGCTTTATATTGTCTAACAACCGGTCAAAAGGAAGGCTAATACCATCAAAAGTACGCCTATTCCTTTCCTTTCAAATTTCCCAAACAACTGCTCCTCAAGCAATACACCTGATCAAAGAATTTTCAAAGAGGAGATGAGAAAAGGATAACTAAGTAATAATGTCCAAAACCAACCTAAGAAGAGAAGCATAGATTCCAAGTAGGTTGAAAAAACCATACCAAATAGTTGATGCCACATAACATTGAAGGAAAATATGGTTCCTAGTTTCTTCATTAAGTTTGCACATAAGACAAATATTAGGAAGCATGTTTCCCCTCTTGATAAGATTATGGACACTCAGGATTTTGTTCTGACCAGCCAACCATAAGAAAACTTGAACCTTGTGAGGGATATGCCATTTCTAAATCTTTGCCACATCAGGTAACGACTATCTCCACTTGTCATGAAAGAGGAATTTACAACAAGATTTAACAAAAAAGTTATCATCAGATTCAAATTCCCAGACAAGTTGATCATCAGAATCTTGTGAGATATATACCGAATCCAATAACTCCAGTAATTGTAACCATTGCTGAAAATCATTACCATTGAGCCTGTCATAAGGAAATG